CCGCTGGTAAACCCGATCTCTCTGTAACTTGGGCCATCGTAGTTGAGCAGGTTTAACTAACATTCAACAGAACTGCAGCACTCACAGGCTTCTAAAACTAAAAAGAGACTAATTATTTTTTTTTTTAGTGTCCAACATTTATGGCTATATTAAATCGTAAATTCTTCCCTTTATGGTGCCTTTGCTTTTATAAGTGGCAGACCACAGTATGAGCGGGTGGGTTTGATTTGGTCTCTGATTACATAGACATGTGCTCTGGAAGCACATAGGAGATGTCATCCCAGGGGTGGCGATACAGGCCCTGCTTCAGCCTCTTCTGGTCCAGGTAGTGACCTGAGGAAGGAAAAAAACAAAAAACCAAAAAAACAGAATGGGTTAATTGGCTGGCGAGGTGGGAAAGTTTGCTCTTTTGCAGATGCTGCCATAGCAACGGAGGGATCTTACCAATAAATCCCATGCTACGTCCCAGGACAAAGATGCCGTTCAGGGCACCAATTTCCACAAACTCATCAGCCTCGTCCCTGTGGGGGCGTCAGGAAAGAAAAAAACACCCAATATGTAATTTACATCTAAATTTGCGTGATTAATTCAAGTTGTCAAAGCATGTCTTCCCACAAAATAATTGTCAGAACAATATTAGTATTGGGTAGGACAAATAAACAAGGGTCTTTCATTTTTTTTCCTTTGGTAAAAATACAGCTATTCAAAGAGGAAGGGAAAGCTCCCAAAACACTGTCTAACCGTGTAAATCCACCACACGTTCTGAGCAAGTCTACGAAGGCCACGCCAATGAGGCCGTCCACGTTCAGAATCAGGTTGGGTTTCTACAGGACACACAGAGAGCATCAAACAGGGGAGAGTTCATGCTTTTCTATCGCAGCTTTGACAAAACAATTGGTTTAAATTTTTACTTTAGAGGTGGTGATCTTCTCTACTTCTAGAGCATAGTCCAGCAGCTGGGAGGAAGGGAAGTACTGCTTCACAAAGTCCTTTAAGATCTGGACTCTCATGTCCGGATTGTTAATCTGGAGATGCAAAGAAAATATGTTCAAAATCTTCCTTGTTCAGTCTAGTCCATCTTTGGTAAACGCCGTTTTTATGACCAAACACAAACATTAAGAAAGAGATGCAGTTATCTTTATTTTTCCCTCTTTCTGTCCACGTCTGATGTTGTCATTCTTCACACACTCACCGACTTGACTCTGTGTCCAATGCCCATGATCAGCTTGCCATCCTTCTTCATCTTGTTGACGAACTCCATGGGGAGCATGCCGCTATCAAACGCCTTGCTGAACTGCTTTGCCGCAGCATCCAGGGCCCCTCCGAAGCGGTCGCCCTGAAGAAAAGACACAAGATGGAAAGGGTTTGATCACGGTGAACCTTTGAATATGCGCACGGAGCGTAAAAACAGTAACAATGACGGTGTCTCACTATGGTGAGGAGGCCGGAGGTGAGGCTGGAGATGAGGTCTTTGCCAGCCCGGGCACAGACAATCGTGTTGTGTGCACCGGAGACGGCGGGGCCATGGTCTGCAGTCACCATCAGGCACATCTCAATGAACTGGCAGGCATACCTCGGTAGCCTGAGCACAGAAGGGAGGAAATGACACAACGAGGTCAGGAGGTCGTCACAGAGATTCTCGGGAGGAGAGGTTTAAAAGCAGACCTCCGCTGGAACCAGAGCAGCCCCAGAGTTCCTCCCAGGCCTATTTCTGACTTGAAGACCTCAGTGATGGGCATGCCAGCGTAGATCAGCTCCTGGCCTCTCTCGTCACAGATGCTGGTCATGAAGGAGGCTGGTTTACGAATCAGACCCAGTTCCTGAACAGAGAGGGGACACGAGACCAAATCCACATCTCGATTTTAAATCATGTGACTTGGTTGAATTGGTTACTGCCGACAGGGTTTGTTTGCGAATATGAAGTTAATGAAAAGGTAGACAAATAAAATACAGAAGGATGGAAATTCTAGATTGATTTTTCTTGTGATTTGTCATGTAAAAAAGGAGGAGGTGCAATTGCTGGCATACTAACTCGAGCCCAGGAGTAATCCATTGGTACGGTGGGGGCAGGCACCTCTTCAGCTGGCTGAATAACTCCTTTAGCAACAAGGTCATCATACACAGACCTGCACAGATAAAAATGACACAAAAGCTTCAGAAATAAGAATCAATCATTTAAAAGCGTGCAAAAAAAATTAAAACTTGCATCAGCTTGGCCTGAGGAGCTTTCATCTTGACCCGATAAATAAATGAATGGAGGTGATTTTGCACTGACCTGATGACCTCTCCCAGCTCATCAAAGCTCTTGGGGACATAGGCACCAGCCTCCTTCAGAGCGTTGTTTTTGGCTACCGCTGTTTCAGCGGCCTGGTTGGCACAAGCCCCTGCATGACCAAATTGAACCTGGCAGGTAGAATAGGTAGAAAATGGAAAATAAATGTGGGTAAATCAACCATTTACTCCATGAATTTACAGTTCTCTTGCTTTCTAATATGACTTAACGCCTTGGATGTGTGCTCTCACCTCCGAGGTGAACATGGTGGCGCAGGTGCCAATGCACCAGCACACCACTGGCTTTGTGATTCTTCCTTGTTTAATAGCCTGGCAGATCTTATATTCCTCTGTCCCGCCGATCTATTACAGAGTAATTACACGATGGATTCAAGAGCAGGAAATCGATAACTCCTCAGAGCTGCAGGCGGCAAGGTGTTTTTTTTCTAACCTCTCCCAGCACAACAATCATCTTCACTCCAGGAGTGTCTTGGTAACGCAGCACGTGGTCGGTAAACACAGAGCCGGGGTATCTGCGAAGGACTAAGGCGTTAGACCCCACTTCCTAAGACTTGCTCCCACACCACGGACGGGGCGCGGACTTACCTGTCCCCTCCGATGGCCACGCCCTCGAAAACGCCATCGGTGGTGCGGGAAATGATGTTGTTGAGTTCGTTGGACATGCCGCCCGAACGGGACACGTAGGCCACGCTGCCCGGACGATACAGCTTAGAGGCCAGGATGTTGTCCAGCATGCCCCCCGTGTTTCCGATCTTGAAACAGCCCGGTTTGATTCCCCCAACCTGAAACCAAAGCCCACGTCAACGCCTGCTCGACAGCCGCGGAAACAGCAGAGCGAGACGGTGGAGAGATCCCGTGAGAGGGGGAAGAGGGAGACTAACCGTTGCAGGGCCAATGATGGTGACGCCCTTCTCATCTGCGGCCTTGATGATCTTCCTGGTATGAGCTTCAGGGATTCCCTCAGCGATGATGGCAATGGTGTGAATCTGAAAGCAGTTGAGCAAAAAAAAAAAAAGACTCAATTAGCCCTTTTTCGGAAGAATTCTTGAGCTGGCAGATGCCGCACAGCCGACCTGTGGGTACTGCATGGTCTCCAGGGTGCTCTCAAAGGCCGAGCGCAATGAGGCAAAGTTGATGAGCACATCCACATCGGGATGCTTCTTCATGGCATCCCCCATGTTCTTATAGACCGGGATGAGGATCTCTTTATGTCCCCAGTAGAACTTCTGTTTGTGGTCGCCGCTGGAAGAGAGCCGATCAGAAAACTGTTAGCCGCGAACGCGCGTGGTGGACCAACAGCCAGCGGGAGCCCGGGAGGAGCGTACTGACGTGAACGGGTAGATCATAGCGGAGACGGACGGCTCTTCTCTGGAGCAGACGTAGTCAAAGTCCAGCATGCCCTGCACAGCCCGGGTCTGCATGCCCCACACTAAGGCCTTTGTGTGTTTGCTGAAGAGGGTAGTTGCCTTGGCTACAGAAGGAAAAAGCCATTAGACGTGGAAACGGCAGAAATTTTTGATAAGAAAGACCATTTATGCACTACAATGAAAGAGTTTGTTTGTTTTTTTTAAAGCTAAACACACCTTGGGTTATAGATCAAGTTTATTATTAATTTCCCATACAAACACTTTCAGGATAATGCACAGAGTGCATGAGGCTTTAAATGCACAGTCACTTTTCCCCTTCCAGACTGGACTGCCAGCCCCTCCTGCCATCCGTAGGGGGAGCTGTAATACCTGAGCTCGGCTCTGCATGCCTACCAGGCTTCTCCCTGGCATGCAGCCACTGTATGAAAACAGTCTGAGCACAACAGTGAGTGTGTTTTCTCACCAACGGAAGCTCCAGTTTTAACCTTCTTGGTAGGTGAGCCCTCTACTCTGCTTTTGTTCTCAGAGAGAGGGGCTTTTCTCCTGGATGTTGGGGTCTGGAAATACAAAAAAAGAAAAGCAGCTAATCATTACATTGAGATTTTCATGCCATTAGCTAAATGTTTTTGTGTGTTGAGCTTTAATCTAGATAAAAAAACACTTCTTGTCTGAGACCTTTTTTCTGAAATATTACATTACATTCAGTATATATTCTGTTTTATTGATTTTATATCTACTTTTAAACAAGTATCTCAGCATTTGCCACCAACAGAATAATGCGTGCCTGTGCACACACGCACTCTGCAACATTCCCTCATACTGGACATTTTTAATGGACGCCTCAGGGGGGACACGCATCGCACGACTGACTGAAGACTCACAACTGTTTTAGAGAGAAAAGTCAACAATGCCCTGCCGTGCTCTTACACAAAAGAGCTACTGAGTCTCCCATAATCTCATCCACTAAAAGGCGCAGATACTATTTGCTGTGAGAGAGGCTGTGGCAGTCCTCCCCTCCCTCTGTAAGTGGAGGAGCTGACCACACGGTGGCCGGACACGCGTGCTCAGAGCTGCCCGTTCTCGTACCGAAGCGCTGCTGCTGGAGTTGAGGAGGAAGTTGGCGGTGTGGGCAGCGACAGGAGGCTGGTTGGGGATTGGCCTGTGCCCCAGAGCCATGCCAACGATGGCAGTCATGTGGGTTTCTGTGCCAAAAACATGGATCGGGATCCCCGTGGTTTTTCCTGCAGGGAAGATTTTAAGCATCAAATCAAGAATGCCGTTTGACAAAAGAGTAAATGAACCCAACTGAGTATTGAAACATTGAGTTGAAAGCATAGCAGGACCGACTTACCTACTTCTCCCATCACTCTGAGACCTTCTTGGTAGTTTGGACCTCCACGGCGGACAAAAATGGTGACTTCATGCTCCTTCAGAGGCTCCTGATAGTCTCTGATGGCTCGCACAATTCCCTAAAGCAGACGTGGATTTGCTCTGTGATTGTGATGAGGGCCAACGCTAACCCTACAACAGGAACTAGCGACCCCATACCTTAAACGTTGCTGCCACATTCGTGAAGTTTGCGATGCTTCCTCCAATGATCAGAACCTTCCCTAGAAGACATTATGTGGAAATCTTTGTGAACCCCACGTTCAAGTTAAAAGTGACGATCCGATTCAAAATTTTGAGAAAAGTGAGAAATTTCCCACCATCAGGGTGCTTCTCTCGTGTCATCAGAGAAAGGATGGTCTTGGCGTAGTCGTACGTCTGCTGTTCGCTCGGTGCTCCGGAATATTCCCCATAATTGGCCAGCTCATCGACCCCACCCAGGTCGCAGATTGTGTCACTAATTTTTCATCCAGACAAGAGAATCAAACGCAGACACCCAATAGTAAGCAGGGTGCTTCAACTTTACCGTTTTCATTTCGTTCTAATTAAAACTGCGCAGTAAACGGCTGAAATAACAGTGCACACGGGGAATAATTAGTCACGGCTGACACGTCCGCTGGATACACTCTATATCCTCAGCAGAGAGCACTCGCTCCTCCAGAATCTGATTAAAGCGGCAACATTTTTGGAGTCTAATTCAGCTGGCAGCTGAATGGGCATTTTGAGCTGCATCATCAGTTTAAGAAATGTTTGGCTGGCACGGTCTCCTAAAGCTAAACACACTTATGGGTAGTGGAATCGCATAATGAAGATAAAGTCTGGGGATACATGGATCCTGCTGTCTGACTGAGCTTTAGTTCAGGCAGTTTGACTGTGGACGGATACCTGTAGACCACTGAGGCGCCCCCTCCAGCTACCATGGTCCAGATTCGGCCTCGAGGATTGAGCAGGGTCAACTTGAGGCTGGCGCCACTCTTAGCGTCGAGGTCAGCAATGTAGGCCTCCTGCAAAACATCAGCCAAAGGTCAATAAAACAATCCCGATGAGCCCAGCTTTTGTGTGGGACCGCGTGCACGTTTGCTGCCCTCATGTATGGTTTAATGTTGTCGTAACCCGTCCGACTGTAACGGCTGAGTGGATGCACATCAGTGGCTGTTTGTGACAGTCTTAGCCACAGCTGGTGGCTGGGAGCAAAAACAGCTCCCAATCAAAGGCCCCCGCTGTCCCTCTCCTCTGCTCTGCTTTCCGCTCGCAGCAGCCCAATTAGACGGCGCCGTCTGTTACACAGACAGTCCGTCTTAAACAAGCTCCCGCATCCGTCAGTGGAAAGAACAGGTGAAACACAAGCACTCCCCAGATCTATTCCTGGATTTTCAGACATGCTACATGTCGTCATCGGGTTGAAATAATTTCATTCAGAGCGACACTTACCTGTGAATGTTAAGTCGCCATAAGACGGTCACTCTGCAGGTCTTATATTCGGTAATTAATTTTTTTAATTAGATTTGAAGGGATTAAAAACACGGACAAAGCCACCCTGTTGTCCAGCACTGGTTTAAAGTCTGCTGTTTTTTAAGCCCTGGGGTTCTGCTCTGTGTTATGAATAAATATATTTCGGCTCGGAAGTTGTGAACGTCAACATATTCATATGGCCGGGAACATATACAGACTCCCTCTTAAAGGTGAGACCACCAGGATGATCTTATATATATGATCCTGGCTTAAATTGCAGCACCGCTAACGGCCACAAGATGCTGGCTTCGTTACACCTCTGGTTCCGTTACGCCCACTGAAACGGCTTCTCCGCCTGTAGCGAGATACAAAGTAAATCAATCCCTATCTCCGACTCACTTTTCACTTTCTGCCAGCCTCGGCTCACTTAAAGTATCAAGTTGTTCTCTCTACTTGGCTTTTCAGCGTGTAACAGTTACATTGGTGCTACTAAATGTGGGATGACACGTTTACATGGCACCTTTACAAAGTAGCTCAGCTTGCACGGACCCCTGATTGATGAACAAAAAAAAAAGAAAAAAAGACCTAAAGAGTTCAATCACGGTTTACCTGTTGTTGGTTTTTTGTTTTTTTTAACAGTGCACTGATTGAAATAGCTTGTAGTTAAATCAAAGGATTGACATTTTAACTAATAATTACTCAAGAGAGTTTCTGCTAAGATCAGTAATCAACCCGTTATACTTCACAGCATCCTCAGAGAGTGTGTGCCTTCAGCCTTACCTCCGGATAGGCCTCCCTTCCAAAGGGAGGAGGGAACTCAACATCACCCCACTTAGACTTGCAGATGTAGTCAGCTGTCGCATCGATCTTTGCCGCCATGTCCAGGACGAACGCGCCATCTTTTGTGACCACTGAAATCATAATCACCATTATGAGCTTTAAACAGGATGCGTGAAAATGAGAAGTTCACGTTCAGAGGAACTAGCCGGACATCAAAGCAGCACCGCAGCCACAAACAGTACACGCCGACAGCTGCCAGAGGGCATGTGCCGGTACCTAATTACTCCATTACAAACACACGCTGCCTTCATCAAACAGCCAGGGCATTAATTATTCCGTAGTTCCTTCCCTCAGTGTTCGAAATATGGCAGAGTCAAGTTCCTCTGTTTTATTATGCAATGATGTTTTCCTCTCCAACTCCCCTTTGATGTCCTCTGTCTAATTTCATAATCTGATAAGATATTGATGAAGTGATGCAGTGATAAAGTGAGGATGGCGTTCATAAGTGCTATTGTGGAGTTAAGAAATAGAATAAAAAAACCTACCCAGAGGGTTGATCTCCAGGTATGTGAAGAAGAGGTCCTCATACAGGTTGAAGAGTCCAACAATGAAACTGGCCAGAACCCTTTGGAGAGATGATGAATCCCAGATTTTTTGGATTAGCTACTTTAAAGACCACTCCTTTATTTCCATTTCTAACTGTGAGATAGGCATTTATTTCTAATTCAAATACATTTAAAAACTAGGACTACGTCTCTAGAATGTCAACACATGTTTATGATTGAATCTTGTTTCAGTTTAAGAGTCCTAAGTGCATGCTGTTCTCAGTCAAATATAAAAAAAGAAAAGCCTTTTGTATTGGGGCTGATTCCAGTCATTTGAAAGTACTGCAGAAACACAATGATGCAAACTACAAACTGAGCGTCGCACGTATGATAAGATTGTAATAAAAAGCTTATCACACAGCAGCTCTTTGCGAACAGTTTTAGAAACAGTGTAGAGTTGAAAACTATTTATTCTAATCTGCCAAACCTTCACATGTTTTCGATACATAGCAAGCATGGGCTGTTTCTTAGTCTTATCTGCAGTTTTCTTGTTATTATTTGAAAGTTTTATCCAGAAGTAACTTGAAATGTTTATTCTCAGTCTGCATACGACCGTTAGTCTGCATACGTTTTTTTATATTCTACATGACCACTGGAAACATTTTCCCTTAATCCATGACCACCATGTTAGTCTAAAAGATAGTCTGTCTCATCCATTACCTGCTGGGGGGGTTCAGATACGGCATTTTTCCTGTTTGTTTCTGAATTAAAAGGGTGTGACTTCTGACTCCCCCTGCAGCTGTTTGGATGGGCTAGCCCGCTACAGGATCCCCTCACAAATGAAATCCTGCCAAACTACAGCTCATAAAGGTTTGTAGACAAGAAACAATCCATCGGTAAATGAGCCCCTGCCTGAAAAGGAAAAATCGAATTGACCTCTTCCATCATATGTCATAACTGAGAGGTTTGGGGGAGTGTGGGTCGGGGGGGGGGTAAGGTGTTTCCCTTCCTGCCTGTCAGTTGCGCCACCAGCCTGGAGACTTTCTGACCACATCAGCCCGTTGTCAGGGCAGCGAGTGACCCGCTGGGAAAAACAGTGTCAAAAACCCGACTCAGCCTGGCTGTATCTGCCTTTGATGGGGAGGGAGGGAGGGAGGGGGGGTTCAGTCTGGAGTGTGTGTTTGGGGTGAGGAGGCGAGGTAGGGTTGGCAAAGTGATATCTGAGGTCGCTTCTTCAATGTCAGCCAAGACAACAAGTCCAGCCACAATCGGCTGTCATAAGAGCGCCGCTGGCGAGATGGATGGGAGGGGCCAGCCGCTGTGTCCTCCCATCCAAACACACGGACGTGCTCTGAATGAGGCCGGGGAGAGGGGAAAGAAAAAAAAGAAAAAAAAGGCCGTGGCTGGAGGATAACTGAAAGCCAGGGAGGGAGATTTCATTTGTCTAATGGAAGCCTGGAACCATCCTCTGCTCCATCCCAACATTTACTGCCAGCATGAGAGAGCTCTCCCTGACTTCATCTGTCCACTGCCCCTCACTGTCCGTCTGCAGTTTAATTATACAATGGAAATTATATTTAGAAAAAGCAGAACGCCTCCGGAATGAAGGCATAAATCCTGAATGAGTATCGGTGCTCTCCAACGGTCAAGACAGCCCAGAATACCCTAAAGCTCCGTCTTATTTTCTCCCGTGTTACTGGGATGTTGTTGTTTTTTTTAAGTATGTTTCAGAATTATGGCACTGAATTCAAAAGATAAGGAAACACTATTTTGTGACAGCAGGACTGACCTTTTAAACATACAGTGGCACAAAACACTTATTTAAAGTATTTAAAGCGATTTCTGACAGCATACTAATTATGGATTTTAAACTAAATATTTACTGGAAGTTGAAAAAATAAGAATCAATGAAAAACTAATATACTTGTTCCAATTAAAATAAGTATTAAAAGTCGGCATATATACGGCATTTGAACTCTCATTAACTGTGAAAATGACCAAATGTCAGACTACAGGTTTTAGAAATACCAATGCCAAGTCTACATAAAAAAAGGAGTAAAACTCTTACCATAAACCATAAGATGACTGTATCTTATAGAACGAGAATCCATTATAGTACTGGATCTCTTTGAAATCAGTGAACAGTGTAGATTTAAAGCTATTCTACTATATTATAGCATATCCCATCCTTCACTCTAACTTACGCTTTCTTGTCGTTGGGAGCCTTGGTCAGCAGTTCTTTCTTGACCTGGTCTTCGCTGATCTTTTCATCCACCCCAATTAGCAGCTTCTGTGCCTTGGCGTCCACGTCTCCGACATCCACCCCCCCCTCGTGGTGAAACAGCACATAGTCCCCCTCCCGGGTGGCGTAGATGCACACATAGAACTCCTCTGTCTGTGGAGCGGGCCATTATTACGACAGGTCCATTAAGAAATGTCAGACACTGAACTTGCCATTACTGCTGGGTTTTCCATCACAAGAAGAAAAAAAAAGGAATCTCAAATATGGGGGTGCAGTTAGGAGTTTTCTGACAGATCTCTGGTGATTTACCTGTTTGTGGGGGACAAATGGCTCAATAAGGAAATTCTTCAGGATGCCTTTGGCTTTTCCCACCTGCGAATCACCAGAAGAAATACTTTTCTTAGAGGTGGAATAAAAACCACAAAGAGCAGAAACAGTTTGAATAAATATCAGGTCCACCTCATTAAAAGCGACAGAAAACGCTGAATCTGACCTACTGATAATGGATATTTGTGGACTTTACTCATTTTATTACAGGATTTCTGAGAAGGGAGGGGGATTGAAACAACACATGGCCGCCTGTTGACACAAATGAAGTGACATTTCAGGAGAAAAAGGGGAAACGTTGTCACGCTGAACTCCCGGCGAAGCCGCAGCTCATTTGGTGGAAGCTGTCAGCGTTCCCCTGTTAAAAGGCCGACGGGCAGAGAGCGCGGGCTGGGACTCGCTGAGAGCAGCCAGCCGGGGAGAAAAGAAACGAGAGCTGCCATTTCGAAGAGTGTAACTCAAAAAAATGGAGGCTGGCGACAGTCGTGGAGACAAAAGCTATCGGGCTGCGAAACCCACGAGAGGCTCAGACTTACTCAGATAAATGAGGCAACGGACGGCTTTCTGGCTAAAAGAAAAAGAAGCCGCTCCTGCGGGAAAACTACCATTTGCTTATGAGAGCTTTAAAATAAATGGACCATTCTGAGCATTACGACATGTTTAAAAATATTTGAGGCAATATATAACTGCCTTCTGTTCTAAAAAATACCTTTCATGGGATAGGAAGTGAGAGCTCGTATTCAGGCTGTCACAATGTCTGATTTAAACTGTACTGAAAACGGGGATAATGTTAAGACATGATTAGAAGGATTAAAAAAATGAATATTTTCTTTTGTTGGACTAAATTCATTTGAGCTTTTTGTCCTAGGTTTGACAACCAACACTCACAATTTGAGACAAAGTACTTAAAAAATGGCAGAAAATTTGCCTTAAAAAAACATAAGTGTCAAACTAAGGCTGCTTAGCTGCCCCAGATCATCATTATACTGCAGCTTCATGAGGCAGAGCGACTTCAATGTGAACTCATGACCTTACTCAGACGACTTTTACCTAAATCTGTTGGGTTGAATCCTCAGATCAAACACAGGACGGCACACATACTGTGTCTGACTCCATCGTGTTCAAATGAGAGTCATTTATCTGTGTATATTGTTTCAACCATTACCAGATGAATGTGTTTTTCACAGGACCATAAACATGACACCTCCCGACAAGCTGAAACACAGCCCCCACTTCCTCAAACACAAGCGGAGCATCACTTCTTCTTATTTACAGCCAATGCTGACAGCTCCATCGCATCTGAGGGGAGGCACATCCGTGCCATCCCGGTTTATGAGGCGAGGCGGCGTCTCAGAGCAGCTGACTGGACTGATTTACCACCGGCGGGCCCACGCCGACGTCAACAAAGTGTGTAGCTGCTCGCCATGCGTCGAGCAAAAAAAAAACATTCACTGAACAAATAACGCGAAACAAGGAAGGAGGTTAAAGAAGATGAAACGAGGAGGGGTCTAAATAAAGAAGATGGGCGTCGTTGACTGGTTGAGAGTCCGGCAAAGCGCGCGGGAGGAGGGGAGGGAGGGGGAGAGGGGCGGCTAATTTACCATGGTCTCCTTCATGAGGCGGGGTTTGAGCCACTCTTTGACTCCGTTCAGATCCAGGTTGACTCCAACCAGACCCAGCTTCCCTCGCCTCTTGATCAGCTGATCCGGCTTCACAACCAGTTTCTGCAGAAGGAGGAGGGACAAGTTTTTGTAGCAGCCAGAACCCCCCCCTCCCCTTTCATAAATATGTCTCATACCTCAACAAAGATATCAAAGTGGCCAAATAAAGGGAAATGTTACTGAAATAAATCCAGAAACAGATGTGTTTGTTACCAAGCAGCATGTCCCACCTAAAAATGGGACCTGCTGATTATATATCTGAATATCTACAAACTATAGCTGAATGACGTATAGGCAAAATGACATCCAACAGCCCTCCACCTCTCCCCGGATAAGAGAATGACTTATGACAGAGGATCCATTACTATGTGGCTACTTGCCAGCCAGCAGAGGAGGGAGGGGGGAGGGACAAAGTTAATGCGATTTCCTAATCAATTCTCCAGCATCGTTGTGGATCTGCCCTCCGACGTCCATTTAGCCCCCAGATAAAAAGGTTCAGCCCGGAAGGAGGGATGAGGAAATGCCATTCAAGCTGCCAGTTGGGCAATCTGAGCGGGATTCAAATGAATTTCTATTAAAAACTGTCTACATGCGACAGTAAGGGGAGGGAAAAGTACAGGGAGGAAAACTCAGAAGTGCTCACAGTTATCTCCTCCGCTTCCCCCTTTGCCTCATCTCCACTAACAGAGCTGATGGATGGCTCCTCTGGCTGTGATGTCAGCCAACAAGCACCGAGAGGCCACTCCGCTGCCAGCCTAAGTAATTGTCTCTATAAAGAGGAGATCACTCCCGACGAGCCTGAGGAGCCACGGCTCTTTAGAAAACAAGCCTTGCCTCATCGTCCCCATACATCTGCGTCACCCGTGGGTCTCACCTCTGTGAGCAGCCATGGGTGCTCCTGGGCCAGGCGGTCGAAGTCCGTCTCGGCCGTCACGCTGGCGTAGCGGAACCTGTTCTGGACCGCCGCCGCCGGGCTGATGTACTTGTAGAGGAACTCCTTCCCCGTCTGTTCAGAGATGGCTTTGGCAGACATGACAGCTCACCGACGACCGACCTAAGATGAACCACCAGGAGAGAGAACCAGAGGGAGGTGGATGTTCAAATGAGGAGGCTGAGTGATGGTGAAGACAGAATATAAACAGAGCTCCGGAGATGTTCTCTGTGCTCTGACAGAGCAAGATTACTTTCTCCCTGGTTGTCAGAACTGTCAAAAAAGGGTTTGTTAACACGGGGACTGGAAGACAGCTCATAAATGTGGTTTGTTTTTAAGGATCAGCAGCCTGTGAACGACGTGAGCCTGTCAAATGTCATCAATTCTTCCCCGACGTCTCACTGTGACGTCATCACAATTAGAGCTTCTCAATTCTTTAAGACGGACGGCGACGTGGTTCGAACACCCGGCGGTTTCACGTCTTTCCTGGAGAGACCCCTCTCTAAACTGCAGTTTAGAGAAGCAGAAGCAGAACAGCTTACAGCAACATCACCACGCCCAAAAAACAGCTGTGACGTCTACCTTTTCCACACCTGACAAAATTCAGACTTCAACTTAATCATACTAATTAATTTTTAAATAAATTGGACAGCGAGTTCAGTCACTGGTGAGTTGGAGACGAATCGGTAGCTATCCCCATGCCGACACGGAATCTATATTACAGCTCATACGACGTATAAAAGGAGACATCATCTTCATCACTTCTGGCTCTACACACCATCTTATTCAGCTGGAGATTAGAAAGGACCTGTCAGGGAGCCTCAACCCCCTCCCCAGAGTGCCTCGGATGCATTCAAACCCTTCCTATTCTGACCTTTGGCCTGCTCATCGGCTACAGTGTTGTGACTCCCCATGGCAGCTGCCCACATTTCCATTTGAAACTAAGTAGCTCTGGAGATTATCTGGCAAATAATCTGCTCTTTATATCACAGAACAAAACAGTTTCAAGATTTCACACAGACTTAAATGTTATCTGTTGCGTGTGTCCTTCTCATGCTGATTAGGGCGTTTCAGACAGATCTAACATATCCTCGCCGGCACAACCGGACAGCAAAGCCAGTGAAAGCCATTAAAGCGTCATTCGTCTTCACTTTGTTTGTTCTGCACACCAGAAAGAAAAAAAAAAAAGAAGAAAAAAAAGGTGGCGGCCATTTAGTGCTCAAACAATTGCATCCTGTTGCAGTTCAGCAGAGCTCCTCCAAACACAGACCTCTGCTAAACTCAAGCTAATCTGACATTTAAACCACTGCCGCTCACTTACGCGGAAAAAATGTCAGTGGCTAAGTGGATAAAAATTAAAGACCAAGATCAGAAAACGCTGACTGACTTCTCCAAACACAAGATCCCTCGCTTGCGTCCAATAAATGTGCTTTGATCGTGCCAATTTTCTCCTGAAAGGTGAGTATTTAGTCAAGATTCATAGTAAATGCTGTAAACATATCTTTAAATATGTCATGGCAACTGAAATTCTGACGATAAGCTCATCGTTTACAGATTTATTCCAGGAACAAACGCCCGATCACGCATCTAGGTTTCTGTATAACATCAGATCTATGTGTTCGATGTCTCTGTGATTGAGGAGGCGACATCGCCCGTCTGCCTGGAGGAAACAGTCTCCACTAACACGCCGCTAATCGCTCTCCACCTGATTTCATTGATAACTCAAGACCCTGAGTCAAGCATCGTCCCTTTTCCAAACTCAGACCAAATGAGTAGGGACCTTATAGGAGATGAATGCGAAATGTTTAAAGGCTTTATCCAGTTATCATCTTTCTAACCTTCCAGGAACACTGTGTGTTATCTTGTCTACTGGGATGGAGCACCTGCGCCGTCTGTCTGTCTCCGTTTGTTTCATTAAGCTGAAAGCCCGACGTTTGTTCCAGCCCTGGCAGCTGTTTATTAAATAGATTAATGGCACTGCCATGGAGCTCTCTCAGTATTGATCAGCCACCACTCAACTGGTCCCAGGCCAGACAGATGTTGTGTGGCTCCTGGCTTTTCCCACTTCACCTCCTCTCAGTGTGCAGCATACCTGTAAAGGGCTGCAAAACACCACTGCTCCACAACCACAACTACTGACTTGGGACCTGGGAGGAGAGCAGCATCATACAGCCAAGTCAGAAAAAAAAAGAAAGAAAAATAAGTGCACACAGAATGAAATGAAGCAGGTTGTGATCAACTAACCGGTGCAACTAAACCTGCAGGTCTGTAAAGGCACACAGAGCCCCACAGCCTTAGCAAGAAGTGACTCACACAAGTTTCTTTTATTCATTTACAAACCGGTTAGACAGCACAACCGTTTTCTCGCCATTCACTGGAGACTTCGCGTCATTACTCAACAGTCCTGACAGCATACCATGTGCCAAGAGTCGTACGAGTGAATAAATAGTGGTGGAAGGAGTTCAACTTGTTTGACATCATTTATCTGAAAGCCTGGAAAAGAGTTTAAAGGACGTTTAGGTAGATATAATATCAACTCGTGTGATGGTTTACCTTGTTTTTTGCTGTAGGTTTTAGTCTTTCGCTACTGTAGAGGAGTGTAGCAGGTGGATGTGTGGACGTCCTCAGCCTGAGTGGAGCTCTCTGCTGCCGGAGGACTCCGCTTCCTGAGAGGTTTCTTTCCATCGTCCATCTGCCGACAGACTTGGCTGATGTTTTACTGGCCTGTGATTGGCTCCTTCTCCTGCTGCGTTTAGGAGCGGTGGGACATTTTGTACAGAGTGAACAGCACAAATTGGCTTCATTTATGTCGTTGAATGTGATGAAGTTCTGGGGTTAAAACGGAAATAATGTAGAAAGGAGAATTGCTGTGTAATGTACTTTCATCAAAAAGATTAATATCAGTTACATGAGTCAGTAGATTATGAAGTGATGTGAGGACACAGTCATAAAGTGTTGTCAGAATGTATGTCCAGTCCGAAGGATATCGGGGGTTAATAGTCTAGTTTGAAAGAAGTGAAATGTGACATCACTGAAATCCTCTAAATGCGAAGGATAATTTTGAATTAAAAAAATTAAATAAAACTGATTAATGCAAATCACATCCTTGTCTAATTCCAACTCCAGCTATTTTCAAACTAATTGATTTGTTGTACAGTGATTCTGATGTACAACATTTTCTTTACTTGAATGGTCGAATCAATACTAACAATTATTTTGGATTTTTTTATTTATAGTACCAATCATATATACTTTTATGTTTCGAGAAAACAGAGCACACATATAGAATATTTACGCAAACTAGTTCCTGAAGGTATCATTCGTCTCCTCACAAAGGCACTTCTCACGGGTAAAGAAAGCAATAATCCACCCTTGATGTTGATTGGTTGTCATGCAACATTCTTTGCCCAGCAGCCAATGAGGCAACACCCCACTCTTCAATTGTGTTGGAGGTGAACTTCGTGGCTCGTGGCATCCCACAGCCTTGACCTAGAACCGAACCAGTTTTGATAGATTTGCACCAAACTGGAGCAAAAGTCTTTTAAAAAACATGCAAAAAAAAAAAATCACCTGACCGCTGTCTCCTGACATAAAGTTCCCCCTCTCTGTACCTTTTCAGGTTCTGGGAGCATTTCGTGCATATTGTATTTTTTACACGTGCAAAACACCCAGCATGGACAGGTGCTAGAAATGTTACTTCTGATGTGCACTTGTGCAACAGATGTGTGAGATTCACGCCTCCAGCTGAAGCTGAACCGGCTGGTGTGTAGGTGATGGCGCATCTCGCTGCAAGGCCGCCAGCTCGTGCAATCTACTCCATCTGGAGCCACTCCATAGACCTTGTGCAAGTATTTGCTGAACACATTTTGAAAGATGGACGAGTCCATTTGAGGTTAGTGCACACCTTTTCACTAATGCTCCTCGCTAGCTCGGATAAAGTGACGGGGTGCCCCCTGCTGGTCTTTTCCTACAACTGCACGCGCGTGCTGTGAGAAAACGTCCACATGCAGCCGGAGCTGGTCTGACTTCCCGAGCGCGAGCTGGTGAAGGAGAGGCAGAGAGACAGACCAGTACAGGAGCAAAGCATGTTCTTTTATTAAGTGTACAAAACAAGTGCAAAAATAGTGATTCATAAGAGCTACACAGATTGGGTCTTCCCATCAAAAATTACAGTCAGAGGATACAAATTGAAATGTAGTACAGGAAGTGCTTCTCAAACAGGATTGCGCAGTAGAAAGGATTGCAAAACAAGACCTTGGATTCACAGCATTTCATAAGTGAGTGCAAGCTGCTGAAACAAATGCCCAATTCATCAGCATGCTCCCTTTCTAACTATGCACGGTTCAAAGACTTCAAAAGGAAGGATATCTATAAATGACATTGATTCTAATACACTTAAAATAGGTAACTTTGGCTCATATGCTACCACAATTACTTTCTAGGCTGCACAAACAGACACAGATGTCATAGTATTGTGTAAACTTACTACTACTCCGGAGATCCCGGGCGATCTGCCAGAAGTGGAACTAGGACTGTATTAGTAATATGCCGTCACAAATAACCACAGATGCATGCAATGAAAGTACAGTTTATCACGTCCGATGCAGGAAAACACTGATGTACAAACCTAGGTTTAGAATGAACAGTGGATCCTCGTGAGGAGGCTAAACTAGTCGGAACAGCAGCTAACGGGACCTCTGCAAACTTCCAGGAAATTCAACCCTGCAGATGACGTGCAGAACTAAATACTGAAACGAGCCGATAACAAGCCTAACTCAGCTGAAGGCATCTTGGGTTGTGGTGCAAATCAACACATAAGAGGAAGGGGGGAAAAAAAAGGCACACATCTTGTGGATTTAGGGTGAATATAAATGAAACCCTAAACACAGCACAAGCACACAAACTTTGCACAAAGTAAGCCTTTTTTTTTTTTTTTTTTGAGCGGGGATTGCATCCCTCGTTTTTTGCATCTACAAAATGCTGCATTTTGCCTTCTTTTTCTTCTCGGGCTCTTTTTTGGCCGGCTCGAGCTCCTTGGGCTCGTAGAAGCTGGAGAAGAGGGCCGGGGCTCTGATGGGCTCCCTGAGGGCGAGCAGCCACCTGCCTTCACCGTAATAGGTCAGCGAGCCGAGCTCCATCTCCTCCACCAGCTCCCCCTGCGGCAGGGCCAGGATCTGGAGCAGATCCAGCCCCGTTTGGACCGGCTCCACACCCTCTGCGCAGCCGAGCGTGACGTGGGCGCGGCTTCCCGGGGGCAGGGAGGCGGCTGCTGCAGGGGCGGCTGCCTCCGCCTGCTTCTCTGGCTCAGCGGGCCACAGCAGGAGCTGCTCCTCGCTGAGGGACACTCGGGCACCCACGGTGCGAGGGGTGACAAACAGAGCCGTCAGCGACAGCTCGTAGGCCGATCCGTAGGAATTTATGACATCCTGTGGGTGAGCGGGAGGCAGAAATGTAAGCAGCATCTCAAATAAAACTCAACATTAGCTTAAAAGCAGGATGCACTTACAGAATTCTGCGCATACTCTTTGGCACCATCAGCTTTCCCGTAGTTGCAGAACTTTGTAGTGCAGTGGAGGATTCCCTTGGACTCAAAGTACTGCTCCAGGTCCACCTCCTTCTCAGCTTTTCCTGTGACTGTTGAATGCACGTAATCAGCCTCACGCCACCAACACAAACATCTGAATCTTCCTAAAGGCATGAAAACCTCAAACAAACTCACAGTCGCTCATGTGCTTCTTGAAGGCATCCAGGGTGTCCAGCGTTTTCAGGAAGTCCATTGATGTACAGCGAACCTTTTCCTCCACAGAGGACATAAGAAACCAGCCGAAGTAGAGAGGAATGGAGGTTTCCAGGAGCTGGCCTTTTAGCGTCTCCAGCTGGGCCTCCTCCAGTCCTCGCTTTGTTTTATTCTTCAGCTGAGTCACGTCTCTGCTCCATTCAGTCTGTGGCTCCACAAACATGCAGATGAAGTGGTGTTCTTTGGCAATCTCCCCCAGGCGGGCCAGCCGGTGGTGGCTGAGGTTGGTGTCATCCACCACTATGAGCACCGGGGAGGCCGGCCCCTCTCGGCAGCGGGCGGCCACGGCCTCATCCAGAGCTCGGAACCCGTCTGCGGACGACTCGGTCTTCTCTGGCTTTATGCCGTGGTCGTCGGCGCAGAAGACAGAGCACTGGTCTTTGTAGGCATCAGCGATGGCGCGAGCCAGGAAGCTTTTACCGCTTCCTGGAAGGCCTCTGAGGACAACAAGGATGCGGGAGGTCCTCAGGGCATCTTTGGTCTGCTCCCTTTCCAAAATGGCAAACGACAGAGAGCCTGTTGCAGGAGCAGTCTTTTGGGGCTCTGGCTCTTGTTTCTGCTCTGGAGCAGCAGACTCGGACTCAACAGGCTCAGCTTTGGTCTCAGACTCACCAGGCTCAGCTTTGGTCTCA